AACTTGAGGAGGAGGTGGATGGATATCGGCAAATACCGTGGATGTAGAGGGACTGGAGGGTGAATGAGGTCATGCTTGGGAAGTTTTGGATGCCTTCATGGGTTGGGTGTGAGAAACAAAGGTTTTCTTATGAGGAGGGAAAGAGCGAAGAGCAGACGGAGAGGTGGGCGGAGGAAAGGATGTGGTAGGAGAAGATGGGGTGGAACGTTTAGATTGCCTGGTGAGCCAGGCAGATTGAGAAGGAGGAGGGGTGGGCATCGGGGAAGTGGTAGAGATTAGAATATCTGGATTTAGATTGGAAAAGGACTTTGACAGGGGGAAGAGGGAGTAGAAATAGGATGGTTCGGGGTAGAGGGGAGAGATGCTGAGACTTTTTGAGAAAATGGAAGGGGCGGAGCGATGTACAGTTTTGGAATTGAAAGAAAGAGAAAAACCTCGTCGGCGTGCTTCTTGTCTGGCCTCACGTAGAGTGAGGCTTAGTTTTAATTTGAGAACTGCTACCTCAGATTCCAGTTTGTAGGCAGTACAGGTCTTATAAAATACATCATGGGAACCACCACAATTGGTATACGTGCGTGACTGATCATAGCAATTTGAACGGTCGTGACCAGGTTGGGCACACAGAGGGCAGCGGACTGTAGAACGACAGTGTTTGACTGGGTAGCTAAAACGCTATTTCTGCATTGACGGGGAAGGGGTCGATATGGTCGGACAGGGCAGGACACTCCACCAATATAATCCTCATGGGGGAGGGCATATCTACGGAAACTGATGTTGGCAATATTGGTGTATGACTTGCGTTGTCCTGCCACTAAATGCCTATTGTTGAATTTATACAAAGATCCTGATTCACGTGAAGTGCATCAATCCCTGCAACGGTCATTGGGTCTCAGTCTCCAACTCTTAACCCCCACCCCACCACCGCCACCACCACCACCACTACACGACAATAACGAGCAAGGGATTGAGGGAGGGAGGGTTGCCCCAAGTAAAGCATTACGATAAAGTAGTGTACCGAAAATAGTAAAGCTGAATTAAAGAATAGGATAAGTGGACAGAAGGGACTGAAGAAGAATAAGAAAGGGAAAGGGAGAGAAGAAACTGGTTAATGGTTAAAAGCAAAATAAATGTGCTAGACATCTAAGGTCATGTAGCACTATAGTAAATGTTAGTAAAGGGTGGTTAAGTTAGTGATTAGTTGTCAAAGCTGGGCAAAGGAATTGGTGAGTGAATGGGTTAAGGTCGGGTGAGGTAATGTAAAGGGGTTAGATAAAATGAGGGATATTTTTGCGATTGAGAGGAAAACTGGTTGTCGAAATAGAACAGGTTGGGAGGTCGGTGAAGGGAGGATAGGTGGGTGGAAGCAGAGGTAAGGCTGCTTCAAAACGTGTGCATGAAAATAGAATATGTGGGACTGAAAGAGGAACATTACATAAGGAGCATAGGGGTGGATCGGATTATGACATCAGATAGGAGTGTGTTAGACGGGTGTGGAAGGGGATACTTGTGATATAAGGGATTCACGTGTGTTTTCAGGAGGGAGTGGAAGGGATAGAGGGGATGGTGGGAGGGTTAATGTGGGCGGGGCTGGAGTCGGGGGGGATGGGCTGTGTTGGGAGGGGGTAGGAGGATAGAGTGTAGGGGCGATATCGTTAGGAGGAGGATGGATATCGGCAGTCACTTGGTGTGTGGAGGGAGCAGGAGTTGTGGGATTTGAAGGTTGATGAATGTTAGTTTTCATTAAGTAGTCTTGAATATTTTCAAGAGTTTCTTCAATGGAGTTGGTTGGGGAGTTTTGTGAGATTAAGGATTTCTTTTGAGGGGGGAAGAGAAGACTGGTGTCTCAAGAGTAGGGGCAAAGGAAGGTGGAGGTGATTGTGTGGTACGAGAAGAGGAAGTGGAACGTTTGTTTTGTCTGTTGCGGGTAGTGCGGGGAGGGAGAGGGGAAGGTGTTGGGGTTGTAGTGGAGATTGGAGTGTCTGTAGTAGAGATTGGAGTGTCTGGATTTAGGATGGCAAAAGAATTTGACTGGGGAAGGTAGGAGGTAGAAGAGGGGGAGTTAGATGGAGGGGGTGGGTTTAGGAGAGGGTGCAGGGGCTTGGGAGGTAGGGGAAGTGGTAGAATGAGCAATACTACTGGAGTAGGGATTGAGAGAAAACCTCGTCGACGTGCTTCCTATCTGACTTTACGTAGTGTGAGTCCAAGTTTGAATCTGAGAGTTGCTACCTCAGACTCAAATTTGTAGGTGGGGCAGCCCCTTTAAAATACATTATGAGGGCCATCACAGTTGGTACATGTGAGACAGGCGAGTAAGTCTTCTCCACAATCTGACCAATCTTTGTCATAGATTGGGCAATTTGTTAGGGAGATAGAAACAGTTCCGGTGCAAGTATTGAGGGTTGGATGGGGTTCTGCAAGGATGGGATTACCATATAGATCATTTAGATTTGATAATGCTATAGCTTGGTTTTCAGATGTTACTGTGACGAAACGGGAGCGGTGGGGTCGGCTACGGAAAGAGACTTTGCCTACTTGTTTTTGGAGACATTGCTGGAAGAGAAGGGTGTTGTCAGAGTAGGGAGCTGTGGGAGGGATCACGAAAAATCGGTCCCATTTGGCTGTGCTAAATAGAGTATTTAAGATTGTTGTAGAAATAGGGGTAGTAGAAGGGCGGGGGCGTGTCGAAGCGGGAGTAGTTTTGAGGGAGGTAGTGTTATGGAGAGGTGGGCAATAAGGCTGTAAGGTATTAATGAGGGAGGATGGGGTAGTTGATGTAGAAGGTTGGGGGGGGGGGGGTAGAGGTGTTGAGCATAATGGGAGAGTAGAAATGTCTCTAGGGGGTTGAGTATTGACTACTATACTAGTAGATATTGAGGAGGGGGTAGTTGTTGCAGTGTTCGGAGCCGTGGTCAAAGGAGAGCCTGGGGCCAGGGAATCGGGAGGATTTGAATTGTTGGGGCTATTTGATGAAGGGGCAAGCCTCATTACCCCTAATAGTGGAATTACGTTTTCATTATTGGCCATGGTAAGCCTGGAGTATGTTGGGGAGAAAAACAGTCCACCCTCAGGGTCCCCTTGAGGGGTAAGGGCTAGGCCTAAGCAGGGGAATACCGTGCCCATGGCTCCCTCAGGCCGTTCAGGACTGGCACAAAGTCAGCCTTTCATCCTTTCAGCACGGCTCTTACACCTTAGGAGGTGGATAGTAGAAGGGATTAGTGAAGGGACAGAAACGAAAAAGTAGGAAGGGAAAAAAGACCATGCAAAATTAGTTGAGTCGAGGGCTGAGTCCCAAGGTAGGGGAGTTCCCCATCATTAGGTCCCAGTCTCCGCCTCCTAAGCTCCCCCACGACAACAACGGGCAATGGATTGGGGGGGGGGGGGGAAGAAAAGGCCATGCCCAATCTGTTGAGGTGAAGGCTGAGGTCCAAGGCAGCGGTGATCTCCTACAGTAGGCCTCAGTCTCCGTCTCCGTCTTCACGATATCAACGAGCAAATGATTGGTGGGAATCATTGTGCAAAATTAATCATTTAAAAGTGAAACACGCTATACTGGTGAGTAGCTTATATTCCAAAACACATCTAATATACTCTAGTCTATATGAGCAAACACAAAGGGGTGCTAACGCATCAGTAATGACACATTTGCGCATACACATAACGTTTGGATCAAATTTTACTACGGTTTATGGAGTGCAAAACAAGGTCATGTAGTTTAATCAATTTATTTACTGAAAATATTCTGAGGTCATTAGCGGCGTCTTCAAAGTATAGTGATAGGGCGGGGCTTGGGGTGGGGGGGAGTAGTGAACATCAAAGATCACACAGCATTATGACAAAATATTGTGAGGAAAAGGGTAAAATGAATTAACGATTAGTAGTGGGCGGAAGAAATCTGAAGAAGAGAGGGAAGAAAGGTGAAGAAAAGGCCAAGCAAAATTAGTCGAGCCGAGGGCTGAGGTCCAAGGCAGGGCTGATCCCCTACACTGTGCCTCAGTCTCCGTCTCTTAAGCCTCCCACGGCAAGAAGCAAGAGATTGGGGGGATATGTAGTTTAAGATCATGAAATTATTATTTATTACAACTACATAAATTGTCTATATGAGCAAGGAAAGACAATTATATTTATTAAAATGTTATTCTATGGAAATATACAAAATGCTTGGGATCTTACTTTCTCAACTGTAAATTTACAGGGATAGACGAGTTTTCAAGGTTTCACATACACTAATAGTAATAGGATGTGCAAACTATCCTCATTCCGTAGTATTTTATTCATTTTATTGAACATTTTCTGCCACGTCATTAGCAGCATATTCAAAACAGTGATAGCAAGAGGCTTGGTAGCAAAGCCCCCAGATAAGGAAGTGCTATATGACATCAAGGGCAATATAGCGCTATGGTAAAATAAAATACCAAAAAGGGTTAGAAACAAGTTAATGATTAGGGTAAAGTTACAGGTTGAACAGCACTAGAGGGTAGTATGGTATAAGGGTAGTAGAGTATAAGGTAAAGGTTGTTAGAAGAGGAAGGAGTTAAGGGAGTAGGGAGCACTATGATTAAATATTGTGGCGAAAATGGCAAGAATGAGTCAACAATTAGGATAAGTGGACAGGACTATGGAATGAAGACAAGGAAAAGGAAAGGAGAAGATGAAAAGACCATGCAAAATGAGCTGATGAAAGGGCTGAGAACCGAGTAGGGGTGATCCCTACAGTGGGCCTGAGATCTGCCTCCTAAGCCCCTCTATGACAACAGCAAGCAAAGGATTAGGGGGGTATTTCTGTAGTAGATATCTGAATATACACATCATAGGCACATCTTATGCAGTGTTATTCTGATTACTGGAACATCTTTCTACATGTAATTGATAAATTCTTGAATGAAATAAGACAGTATACTAAAGAAAATGTCAAAATATCATTGGCTTTCCCTTCCATTCAAAATTAATATAATGCATTTACTTTTTTAATATATATGGAGGATCTTTGGAGTAAAACACCATTTCAAAGTAAAATTTCTTTACAAAATCCCTAATTACAATTAGTACTTTTTCGTTTCTTTAACAGTTACGTACATAACTTTTTATCTACATTCTCTTCACCTTGGAAAAATTATATGTAAGCCCCAATTACTTGCTTTCTCAAGATACATTGGCAGATGTGAAAAGCTTTTAACATATGAAATATCTGTACACTGCTTCAACACAATGCTGCCTCAGTATTATACATGGAAAGACAAGATTAATTACATTTTTTTCTTTTGCAACATGAATGACAAGAATTCTTCTTGAAGCTTATACACATTTATGCGCAGATTTTATGTCAGGAAAAAAAAAACCTACCCTTTACCATCCCTGATTACTCTCTGTAAGTATATATATCACAAACAAAAATCATTTGTACAAGTAATGCCATTCATGCTAGGAAATCTGGTACATTGTTCAGGCAATTGAAGTTATTGACACTTCAGGGAGGCTCTTAATGGTTGTTCATCATAAACCCTATGTATTAGTTTGGTCATCTTGCACTCTCTCCACTAGCTATCAGTTGGACTTGCTTTCACTGGGGAAGGGACAACAAGGTGCTCTGGTTGTTGGGGAGGTAGGCAACATTGCGGTTCTTTGACAGCCTGTAGGAGAGAAAAAGCCACAGTAAATTTAAGCTATTCCCGAGGTTCAATCCGTAGTTATCAAATTGACCCTGCCCTTGCGAAATCAGTTATTCTGAGGTCTGGTTTATCATATTGACTTTGCTTCTAACAGTTTGACATCATCATGTATAGTATTTGCTCTGCTTGAACTTATTGTTGCTTTCTGAAGCACGACCTATGGAGTAACAATTTAATTTTCCTTCCTCCAAATAAACAGATTAGTTGAAATTTAAATATGCTCTAGCCCTCCACAAAAATAATTTCCAAAAGAATAATAAATGTTCCAGCATCCAATTCTTCTAAATATTTTCAGTTAAGCAACAAGAATAAACAGCCTCCTGCTGCTCCCCTCACCTGTAAGCAATGTCCTCGGAAGCCTCAATCCTCCTGAGTTCCACCAAACCTTCTCCAGCCTCACCGAAGGACTTGGCGAGTAAAGTGGCAGCTGTGGCATCACCATCGGCACTGATAATAGCAGCCTTTTTCTCTTGCTCGGCCTATAGGGGGAAATATTGAAATTAAAATGCGAAACTGTCTATTGATTTCATGAAAGCGGATTTTTTTTGACTACTTAAAGAACCCTTTCCAGTACAAAAGCAAACTTTAGCTCAGGTTTCAAAAGTAATTTACCAAAAATAATATAACTTTACAAAATCCCTAATTACAATTAGTACTTTTTCGTTTCTTTAACAGTTACGTACATAACTTTTTATCTACATTCTCTTCACCTTGGAAAAATTATATGTAAGCCCCAATTACTTGCTTTCTCAAGATACATTGGCAGATGTGAAAAGCTTTTAACATATGAAATATCTGTACACTGCTTCAACACAATGCTGCCTCAGTATTATACATGGAAAGACAAGATTAATTACATTTTTTTCTTTTGCAACATGAATGACAAGAATTCTTCTTGAAGCTTATACACATTTATGCGCAGATTTTATGTCAGGAAAAAAAAAAACCTACCCTTTACCATCCCTGATTACTCTCTGTAAGTATATATATCACAAACAAAAATCATTTGTACAAGTAATGCCATTCATGCTTGGAAATCTGGTACATTTTTCAGGCAATTGAAGTTATTGACACTTCAGGGAGGCTTTTAATGGTTGTTCATCATAAACCCTATGTATTAGTTTGGTCATCTTGCACTCTCTCCACTAGCTATCAGTTGGACTTGCTTTCACTGGGGAAGGGACAACAAGGTGCTCTGGTTGTTGGGGAGGTAGGCAACATTGCGGTTCTTTGACAGCCTGTAGGAGAGAAAAAGCCACAGTAAATTTAAGCTATTCCCGAGGTTCAATCCGTAGTTATCAAATTGACCCTGCCCTTGCGAAATCAGTTATTCTGAGGTCTGGTTTATCATATTGACTTTGCTTCTAACAGTTTGACATCATCATGTATAGTATTTGCTCTGCTTGAACTTATTGTTGCTTTCTGAAGCACGACCTATGGAGTAACAATTTAATTTTCCTTCCTCCAAATAAACAGATTAGTTGAAATTTAAATATACTCAAGCCCTCTACAAAAATGATTTCCAAAAGAATAATAAATGTTCCAGCATCCAATTCTTCTAAATATTTTCACAGTTAAGCAACAAGAATAAACAGCCTCCTGCTGCTCCCCCTCACCTGTAAGCAATGTCCTCAGAAGCCTCAATCCTCCTGAGTTCCACCAAACCTTCTCCAGCCTCACCGAAGGACTTGGCGAGTAAAGTGGCAGCTGTGGCATCACCATCGGCACTGATAATAGCAGCCTTCTTCTCTTGCTCGGCCTATAGGGGGAAATATTGAAATTAAAATGCGAAACTCTGTCTATTGATTTCATGAAAGCGGATTTTTTTTGACTACTTAAAGAACCCTTTCCAGTACAAAAGCAAACTTTAGCTCAGGTTTCAAAAGTAATTTACCAAAAATAATATAACTTTACAAAAATCCAAAAATCAAGATAATTAAACTATAACAGTTTTTAGTTTTAAAGAAATTTGCGCATCAAAGAAATAAGCTATGCTCTTGTGTTGCAACTCAATGATCATATCACTTGCCTACTTGAAAACTCTAGTGTCTAGAAATTCAAATATGACACCAAGTTCAAAGTTTATAATTAAGAATTTTGAAGTAATACAAAAACTCCTTAACCATGAATTTCTTTCTATCTTTCCTTTTTTTTCTTTGTTTACTAAGATAGGGACAATAATGGGATACACTGATTTCTATAAAGAACTGGAATATTTTTTTAAAATCAGAATTTTCTTTGATTTTCTACTTAAAACATTCTCTAAACTTTGCACACACAAAATTCAGCTTAACAACTTACAGGTAATACCAGTGACGAAATGACTTAATATCAGCAAAATTAATCTTACCTTTTCTACTAAGAACTTTGCTCTCTCAGCTTCCTGTTGGGCAACCTGCTTCAGCTCAACAGCCTGTGTGAACTCTTTCCCGAAGGTCAAATGGGTCTGGAAAACACAATTTGTTGAAGAGGATATCACAACACCAATAAGCTATAGCATTTCAATTTATAGTCCTTAAGAGTGAAGAGGTAATTGCAGAATGCTTATGCCATGTGGGAATAAACATAAAAGAAAACTATATGCAAAGGCAAGAATAATTACAATTGAAATGTCGTCCAGGATCAAACCAAACTGCGCAGAACGTTCCGTGAGAGCTTCACTGACACTGCGAGAAACCTTTTCTCTCTGTGTGATCAGCTCTCCTGCATCAAAACGAGCCTGAAGTGGAAATAAAATATCATTATCACCTACTTTTGGCTTTATAATTAATTGCAATTCACCTCTATGAATCATAAGTCCTCAACCTTTTATCCAATACACATTTTATTAAATATCTTCCATGCAGCATTTACTACTCCTATTGTCAAATCACTTCTAATATTCCAGTCACAATACGACCAGAAGTAATAGTAGATATTATAACTCTAGGAAGCATTTTGTATATAGAAGTGCATTTCTTTACTAACCACAACAGCCTTTAAAACTTCATTGGTGATGGAAGGCAACACTCTGTCTTCATAGTCAATACCAAGGGTAGTGTAGATCTTTGGAAGCTCAGAACCACGTGGTCGGAACAGCACACGAAGGGTGATGTTCACAGTCTGTAAATCTGAAACAGAAGAAAGATGTCAGTCATTCAATATATCAAATTTCAAACTATGATTTATCATCATCCTACATAACCACTTTGAAATAAATAATATGGAGGCATTCCTTAACATTAATTAATCGCTGCTAAATAATCCACTTAAACAATAAGAATGACACACACAGATACAAAATGCTGATACCATTCTCAGTAAAAGTTATATGGTAAGAACCAGTTAATAAAATCAACATGGTAATTAGGCGAAGAACCAGTTAATAAAATCAGTGCTTTAGATAAAATAATAATAATAATAATTTTTCTGTATGTCTATAAAAACAGGACTATTACATCAAACTTCAGAGGAAAATTCAGGTAATGAAAGAGACACAGCATAAAAACTATAGCCCAGGCTCCACTACTCAAACTCATTCCTAGTCCCTGAACCACCTCTGGTCACCCAGACTGCTGCATCAAAATTACCCTTCCCTTTCCCCTGAGACATTAATAGGACTCTTGCTTATTTTTAATCTAGTAACTACCAGAAAATACTCAAGGCCTCACCTTTGCTACCCGTAACCACAGGCACATTCCTTGGCCTCGTACGTGTATCAAACACGATGGGACGCTGGACCCATGGGATGAAGAAGTGTGTTCCCTCACCCATTACACTTTCCTTCACACCAGAAAAACGGTCGAAGATGACTGCCCGGTGCCCTGCGTCGACTGGAAGGAAGGGCAAGGTGAAGATGGTTAGATGATGGTCGGGTTCTTTGGTGTTTTTACTAGTTCTTGGGTCGTTTTTGCTAAAGTAATTTATTTGTCAATCAAACAGATATTTGAAGCATACTAGGAAAAGGTCCTCTAAGTAATTTATATAATTCCTTAATATTTTGTTCAATAATTCAATGATAATTTGATATCAGTAATTACAATCTCAAACTATGAGTTACATTTATATAATATTAAACAAAATTCAGCTTTTCTTTTGCAATAAAAAATAACTCAGTTTAATCTCAGATTTCCTACAGTTCACTACCTACAGTTCACTATTAAAACAATGTGATTTCAATTTGAGAATTGAAAGAAATGTGCATAGCCTAATATTACCATGAAAAAACACTAATAAGGAGATTAGCCCTTGTCAAATTATCAGTGTTTTAATAAGGTTTTGTACCAATAACAACTGGTAAATATTTAATAGAGACCTGCTTTATTTCTAAAAATAAACTTTTATCAGTTAAAGTATACAATAAGGACCACACCAGCTAGGGAAACACAGGGACTGGAAGGGAGTCCAGGGGCAGAGTCCCAACTGGGGAAATATGCTGATTGGTTGAGGGCCCACAGATGAAACCCCCGGGTCAGGAAGGGTTTCCGATTCATTAAAAAAAACTTTGCAATAGTTTGTGCTTTTAGGAAGGGGATCATTTGTTTGTCCATTCAAGCTGGAGGCTTAGTCTATGACAACTGTAGTCCTGTTGTATACTTTTACCCTTTAACTTATAATTTCATTGGCAGCACTTTGTTCAACTCCACTTAAAACTGGCTGTGTTCTGTGATGGATTGCCTATATCATTACCTAACTTGATAATCAATCACCACAGCCTCCAAGTAACACCATTTAGCAAAGACCAACAGAGGTCCACTGCTTGTAATCTCCCAAGATAAAGGAGTTTGCACTGCTTAATCATTCGATATATTGTCAAGAAACTCCGATAAAGTATATGATGGCGTTGATGGCGTTTCCTGGGGGGGCAGCATGACATTCTCCAGAACCTTCTTAACAAATGATTCCATTCTATGTTAAGGCCTCTTGAAGAAATTTCTGAATAATCTCCATCTCTTTGATAGCAAATAAGTGGAGTAAGCATGTAAGAGACCTTATTGAAAATATCTGCATTACAGATCTGATATTAATAAATATACCAACTATTATTATTTTCACGTGATAAGCATCATTGCACTGAAGATTTTACCCGATTTCTTTAAAACTAAACATCTACAAATCAACCTTGTGAGCATATCAACCCTCTAAACCCGTAGGAAGTGACCAAATCCTCAATAAAGAAGAAATAAATGAAAAGAAACAGTAATAACAACATTCTATCACTATTTACCATTATACAAGGCCGAGTTCACGACGCCGCCGACCACAGCCACTCCAAAACCTATCTGTCCCACTCTCGTAAACAAATTTGCTAGTTGCTGTGCCATCTCTTGTCTTTAATGGACGTTTTTCTCGCGGGTCGAAGAGGTTTTACGGAGGTTTCAGTGCGACAAAAGAAGAAAAATGGACAGGGTCGTTCCTTGAGGCGAGCAGACGATCCTCCACATGAGCTCCTCCGGCTGAACTTCTTTGCCGAAGGGGATTGAAATATGATTTTTTTATGTAATCATTATTTGATTTATATAAAAATATATGATTCTTTTCGTTTGATTATATGACTATAAAATGGATATTTAGTTATTGTATTTCTGCTTGTTATTTGTTTATAAATTCATATAGGTGTAATAGATTTTGAGAGGTCGTCACATAATGTTTTATCTTTTTTATTATTATTATTCATTAATCCACAAAGTACTGAAAATCAATTGATATCATCACATTTTCGAAGTAATCTATGTAGTCTAAAAAATATTTAAATGATGAATTAGTGATAAAAGAATTATTGTATAAGGGTTAACTTCAATTTTCTCCTAAACGAATAATCACAAATTCTATAAATATTTCGATATAAAGATTGCTTTATTAATTCTAAATTTTTATAAAGTTTGTTGCCTAGAATTCAGTCAAAATACACTTCAATGTGAGCAGAACGCGTTATT